GCCTGGAGCGGGTGCTGTGGCATCATGCTGTCGGAAACCTCCTGGCCCAACATGGTGCTTTGGGCAAAACCCAACCAGGCTTTCTGCCCCTCTGTGGCGTGCTTCTGAAGACTCAGTGCTTTGGAGCAGGGTCTCACCCGTTTGCATTCCCAAGCAACTCTGTGTGCTGGGACTTACCATTTCAACCAAGTTTGGATCAACCTAGGGCTTCCTCTTTGGGAGGGTGTGGGTTTACCTCAACCGCTTTTAAATTCCTAGCTTGGTTCCAGCTCATATGAGGTTCAGTGCAGATAGATGTGGCTTTGCCTGTCATGGTGCTGCTTCTTTCTAAAACATCTCAGGTGCCTTAGCACAGCATGTTATTCCCTCTCTAGCTTTCTAAGAAAGAGCACCCAGTCTTTCTTCTTAGCCTGGTAGAAATCCCACCCTGCATCAAAACAGAGCAATACCTCTGTGCCGCATGGTCAGGAGGGATGCCTTGACCAGCCTTGCTTTGAACTAGGGTGCAAGGCTGAGATGGTTTGACATCTCCTTTCATTGTCTGTCACCTTGTTGCTGTTGTGTGCTGCAGCATCCAAGCAGCTTCCTTCAGGCTTTCTAGTCCTCCTCCAGTGAAGGATTTCCAGGGCAGGAGCCTGCCTGCCCTCTCCTTTGAAACTCGATGCAGTGGGGTAGACCAGGACACAATTAAAATGTTCTGCATCTCTTACAATACATGGTCTCCAGGGCACGGATTTTTTGGAAGGCTGAGACCAGGTCTGTAAATACCAAGATTTAATGTCCCTTTATCTTCCCCATAGAGGGACTTATTCTTTTAACTGGCTCAATATCAATACACCCTGTGTGTAAAAAGTGGCCCAATTTCTTTGTCTCCTGACATCCTGAACCCAGAAGCAGATGGACGTTAACCAGCTCTGATTAGTTGGGAGAATCAAGCATTAATTTTTTATATGCCAGGACCACCTGAGTAATGGAAATCAATTACAGCTGCCCCTCCCCCTTCCATATTAATGTGGTGGCTCGGAGCAGAGATGGAGGAACCTGTTGAAATTAGAAACCCCTATTTCTTAGTTTGACCCCCTAGATAATTAGGGTTAAATTGATACGCTATCACACTGGTGACACATTTTATCTGCCTCTGTTTGTACAAGAGGATACAATAGTGGAGGAAGGACCAATTTGTGCCCTGCTCTAGCTAACCAGACTGAGATAAAAGGTGTCACTAGTACGATAACGTTCTTGCCTCATGCTCCTTTATTGTTGCTCAATTTACCTTTTTTTTTTTTTTAATCCTGTTCTTTTTCTTTCAATACCCTTGGTCATATTTTAACTCCATGCCATCGCATAATGACGCCCTGCTAAATGTGTGTGGAGATAGGCAACTCTGGCTGACAGCCTTCCCTGATAACCGAATTCCAGCCCATCCATCACTAGGCTGCTCTCCTTAACTTAAGGAAAGTGATAACTAAAGCAAGGCCGTTTATCACCGCCGAGCTGTGCGCTTCTTGCTGCTTTGGAGAGAGCTGGCTTCAACAGGAGAAATGCAGCCATATCACCTGCTCTTCTATTTGCATCCCATTCATCTCCAGGCTCCATTTGCCCTGCAGAGTGGGGGAGCAGGGGTGGGTGGAAACTGGGAGCCTGGGGTGATAAAAACTCCCTGAAAATGGTGCAGAGCTGCCACTCCTGACCACAGTCCAAGGAGGACTTGGACTTGCTTGGCTGCTGGAGAAGAGCACGCTGTCTAATGTCGCTTGCTCTTCTGCCCAAAGGGGAGCTGTATTTTAGGAGTGGGCAGAGGTTGTGCTCTCCCGTCCCTCCTGATGGGAGGGCAGGCTTTACCAGAGCTGCAGCAGAGGCTGGAAAACCCCACAGCCATTTTCAAGTTTCTCTCTATCGAGTGCAATTATACCTGAAGCTACAGCATTTGGCTGCTGGGGTGGTTTTGAGAACCAGCTTCCTTTCAGAGGAGTGAGAGCTGAGGAAAAGACATTGCAGGACTGTTTTCCTTCCAGGAGCTACCCGGAGACCTGGTTTCTGTGCAGTGAGAGCTCCTGGTTCCCTCTGCTGGGAGTGCTGCTTACCCAGACTAGTCCAGACCCACATGGCAATCCTTTGCTAAAGGCAAGTGCATTAAGTGGCTGTATCCTTGCTGGCATGGGGCCACCAGGCATGCATCTTTCAGCTGGAGGAGTAGGCTGACCCTTTGGACTGTGCTGCTGACAGCCTGCCCAGGTTATAGCAAGAGTGTAGGTCTTCCAGTGCTTGAAAAACTTGGTGAAGTCTTTCTGGTGCTAATGTGAAATGAGGGGAGCACAGGCACAGAGGGGGAGGGGGAATGTCCTTAGGTCACACAGCTTCACAGGCAGTTTCTGGGGTTGTTACTTGTTTGCAAAAATGCGTCATTTATTTAGTTGACATATTTATTTGGAGCATTTATTTTCTCCAATTAAAGACCTACTGTCCAGTGCCGAGGGCATACTGCCATCAGTCTCGGGGTGGAAGTAGAACCAGGCTGTCCAGTTTGCTGGGCCTTTTGGTCCCACAGGGATGGAAAAGCTTTAGACGTCATTCGTTGCACTGCATGGTTAGCTGTCAATTCCTGTGGTTAACAAGGGCAATGCTGCACTTGCTTCTTCTGGGCCCTATCCAAACGTTAGGTGAATTGATAATTATTCCTCTAACTCAAGCTAGATTGAGACCTGTATTAATGGAAACCTCCTGGGTTGAGAGGAGAAACTCAGCTTTTAGTAATATACCTTTTGCTAGCTGCTGTCATCATTCTCTCTAACTAAATGTGAACAGTCCAAGAGAGGTTGAGCTGATCACGTATCCGTATTTAGAATGGTCATTTGGTTTAGATGGTTTCTTTTCTTGTGATCTTTTTTGATTTGGGCACCAGAAGAAAGCAGCTTTCCTGGAGAAAGAGCTTTCTTAGCATGATGATTTGGGTTAGTGCAGTCTGTTCAACTCCAGGATGTCATGGGCATATGTGCAGTGGCTGTAAATTGCGTGGGCCCTGCTCTGTTTCTGGGATGCCTCTGCAGTTGTGAGGAGTCACTCCAGGTGGTTTATTTCAGCACAATGGTGCTGGCATCAGATGAGCCGTGCCCAGAGATGAGGCTGTGCTGCCAAGTCACATTGCTTACCCTGCAAATTACCGTAGCCCTGCTGCTTGCAAGCTCATTCTTTTGGCAGGCTTCCTGCTCTCCCAAGAGATTCCTGTGGACCTCCCTATTCAAATATGTTTGTATGACTTAAATTATTGCTGCTGAATGATGACATGTACATCTTTTCGGGACCAGGCATTTGGTTTTGGCACAGGGAGTCTACTTCTTTCTTAGCCTAAGCAGGGCTCACAAAGCCAGTACGCTGGTGGCCACCAGTGTGTACTGATGGCTCCATTAGTGACAAATTGCCAGGAGATTCCCCTGGATAGTTTGCCAGCTTTCTTCCTTTTCTTCCCATAGAAATGGAGGCAGCAGCAAGACCACACCACTCTGATACTGCACTGCCCTGAGTGTCACTTTATCTGCAAGTGTCCCTTTTCCATTTCCTTACTTGGAAATCTGCTTGTAGGTCTGAAGAGATGCTGCCCTGTTCACCAGAGGGTTTGAAGCTGAGCTGAGCACTTGGGTGATGGGGCACCACAGCCCAGGATGGCGTATCTAGCTTGTATCCACATCTGACCAGAGCTTCTTCCTGAATTTCAGCCTTGATTCTGGAGTCCAGTCTGGATTATTCAGTCTTTCCTCTATGGAGACTGAGAGAAGAATTTGCCCTGGACATGGTCTGTGCTGGGATGTTTGAGAAGCTGATGCTGACACTCACAGCTCTTCCTTCGTCCAGTACAACCTCCTCTGGCAGCTCCCAAGTGCCCAAGGAAGTTGTGAGATTCCCCACCCTCCCTCTGTTTGCAAAAGCTGATTTCTGGGGTTGTGGCTTTTAACATGCACAAGCAGCTGTAATTTAGTCATTTATTTAGTCGATGTATTTATTTGGGATGTTCCTTTGCTTCAGTTAAAGATCCTGTGACCAGTGCCCCAGGCATGCTCAGCAGTATGTGAATGAACAAGATCCATCAATTACTCTTGATCAGATCAAAACAGCTGGGGAAAACTCACATAACTCTTCTCCCTGCATGGCTTTGCCACTCAGCCTTCCCCATCTGAGGGGCACGTTGTAGACACATGGGGTTCAGCACAGTGTGGGAGAAACAGCTTTCCAAATCCTGGGGTCCTGTTGATCCTCCACGCAATCCGCTCCCTTACCAGTGCTGGTTTGTTTTGTGAGCCCTTTTCTGGTGGCTCATGGTAGGATGGGAGAGGTTACATATGTGTGCTTGCAGCTCTGGCTGCTGATGCTCAAACCTGCAGCGAGACAGTGTGCAGCACCTTGCATCTTCAGAGTTGTGACTGCTCTCTTTTTCCAGGCATCTGCTTGGAAAGCAGTCTCTGCTTTCTTAGCCCAAAAATGTTGCTCCTGCACCATTATTACCCAAAAAAATAGAATGCATTGGTGCCTCCTTCCCTCATGTCTCATTCAGTGTTTTAACCATAAGGGCCAGACGGAAGAGCACCAGGACATGGCAGGTGAATTGTCAGTCCTTCTGTCTGCCCTGTAAGCCACTGGCTGAGCAGGATGGTTTTGTGGGGATTTGTGGTGAGTTCACTTAGCTAAGGACAGCCCGGATGCTCCAGTCATTTTTCTGTGGTAGCTACTGTGGGGAAGAGCTATGTGCTGCACATGCACACAGCTCCTGTTCAAAATGTTCAGTCTGGAAGGTGTCAGCAGCCTGGATGTGGCTGGATGTATGTAAGTCTTCAGCCCAACTGTGCTCTCCTGACTTTTTTTTTGCCAAGAGCTATGATCCTGATGTGCAGCGTGTTACAGCAGGCTTGAGGGTCTCTTCCATCTCAGAACAAATGCACTTAAGAAAACAGAGTTTGTGTTGTCAGGACACTGATTGAACCAAACCTGCTCTCTTTTCTGTCTTACAGGTTACCAGGACAATGCCAGTACTTAGGGCTGCCAGTCGCTGATTACTTCAAACAGTGGATTAATCTGAAAAAGGTACTTTTGTGCAAACTCCCATCTCCCAATATCTCCCCTCCCCTTGTCCTTCTCCTTTCCTCTTTAAGATGATGTCTAATAACTACTGCTGTTTTGCATTGAAATGAGTTATTTTCTCAGATGCTGGGCTGAGCGAGTCCTCCAGCTCCCTATTGTATCTCCTCTAATAGAGTCTTCCTGTACTTGATGGGATGTGTTCTGCAGCTGGGGAGAATCCCATTGTGGCAGGCACATGCAGTGTCTCCGCATAATAGTGGGACACTGTGAGGCCCCTCTTTAGCAAAGGTTGTCCTGGCCCCAGTGTTGCTGACCCTGTTTCGTTTTGCAGCTGTAGAAGGCTCCTAGGAGCTCGATTCCCTTCAGATCAAATTCTGGTTGAAATAATCCCAAATAAAAATCAGTCTTCTCCCATTGTGCTGTGGGGAAGGGGAGCTGTCTCGGCAGCGTGTCCACCTAAGGAACCAGTGATCGCTTTGCAAAGCAAAACGCGTTGGACCCTGCTGCCTTGTGTTGCTCCACGCTTTCTCTGGGGGCTAAAGAGCAGCCTGCTGTTCATCCATAGGATCTCCTGGCACAGCTGCTCCATTGCACGGAAAAATGTGGTGATGCCATAAGCCACAAATCAAAGCGGGAAGAGAAGAATAAGTGTGATTACAAGCAGTAGCGGGGCGGGGGGGGCACCTGGGGTGTGTGCCCAGGAGAAACCAGGGTGGTCCTTCTGCTTAAACCTTTGGGTGAGTAAGATTCCCTTCCTCCATCCAATTTAATGTTTTATTTGGGTTTCTGTGCCTTTTCCTGATAATGAGAGCTCTCGGTAAGCAGAATTTGCTTGTAAACAGCTCGTTGTACTTGTGGGCTTTTCTTTTGTTCTTTTATTTATTTATTGTTTTAACTGGAAGCATGAGTGACAGGCTGAGTAGCCGCAGAAGGACAATTTGCATTATCTGTTCCATCAAATAGGGTAGAACGTGAACTTAACAAGGGATGCTGGCAGCACATTCCCAGCTGAACTTGTCAAAGGGTCTTGTATTTCCCTGCTGTCAGAGCAAATCTTTTGGCTGATTGCTGGTCCTCGGTAAATGAAATCTGAAAGCACATTGGGGCATTCTGCAGTTCAGTGACCATTAATGATCGCCATTTGAAGTTCACTAAACTTCCGGTGAATGGATAGCAACTATATAACCAGCAGGTTGAGGGGCTGAAGAGTAATAATATTTAAAAACAAATAAAAAAAATCCCTGTGTTCCGTGATGCTTGGTAAGAAGTAGGTTGATCCAGCCATGCTCCTCCTCTGGGCCTCAGCATGAGTGACTGATGGCTCTTTCCCATCGTTTGAGGCTCTTGGATTTAGTGTGCTAGGAGCCGGGATTCATTGTAACGTGGACATCCAGGGAAGCGGCTGTTCTTCAAGACAAGTGTTCATATATTTGGCTTCAGCAAATACTGTGATACTACATTAAGGGCTGGTGAGTGTCCATGAAGTAACAAGCACAGGGCTAAAGGCAGGAGGAGGAGGGAAGCACTCCTCTGGCAGCTCTCTGGAGGGGTCGTAGGCTGAGTGTGTAGGGTTGGAGCCTGTGTCTTGTCCTCCTCTGCAGATGTGTTACTCACAAAGTAAGGCTCCAGTCTCCTTCAGATCATTCAGGGGAGGGGATGTGTGTGAGAAATGTTCATCTTCCTTCAACCCCTCTAATCCTGTAAAAATCAGAAGTTTTCCTGGCTTTTCAATATCTGATGACTTTTGACACATGGTGATTCCAGGGTCCTTGTGCCCCACTGGGAAGTGACCCAAGTTGTTGGAGGAGAGCAGGGACCTCTTCTGTCCTGTGGCTAAAGAGCTGCCTCCCCTGGGGATTGCTCTTATCTCAGGGTGAGGATCTTTCCATGCCACTCACTGCCCCACTCTCTGGGGCTGCCTGTGAATGTGAACTGCCTGTTTATTTCCAGCCTAGATAAATAATTCTGTCCAAGCAGCAGGACGCAGTGGGACCTCTGTTTCTTTTTGAGTGAGCTCCCAGTGTGAGACAAATAAGGTTGGACAGTTATCTAGCCCCCCCTGCTCTTTCTGTATAGCTCAGGTGGCCCCTTTTTGCCTCCCTCTGGCATGTTCCTGACTTAGAAATACCTCCTAGGCTGAGTCTGCCTCTGACCTGAGCCACGAAGTGAAGGTGCTGGGGAGGGGATGGTGTGAAACTGCTAATTTCTACTTGCCTCTTGGGCAATCTGAACACAGGAATCAGCCCCTGATAGCTGCCGTGCTTGTGTTGCCCCAGGAAACCTTTTTGGATTGATCTGGCCATGCAGGTGGTGGTGGTCCGCTCACCCAACTGCTGCGATGGTGGCCATAGTGTCTTGGAATCTGTGAAAAAACCGTCTGTGGAGGACAAAAGGAGAAAAGCTGCCTGTGCACTTGACTGCATTTGCTGAAGTTTTACCTTGCCCTGTGCCCCCCCAGCCTGCTAATGCATCCCTTCCGTCAAGCCTGATCGGTGTTTGCTGACATTTTTAATGTCACTGAGCGATCTTGTATCTCTGGTGAACTGTCAGTGTAGAGCTGACTTGGGGCAGAGAGTTTATCATGTTCTTCACTTTGATTAGCTCAGCCTTGTGGGAGGGCAGCAGAAAGCAGAGGAGGCTTTCTTTGAATGCTGTAACATTTCAGATATCCCTCTAAACCATCTCAGTAGAGGGCCACCATCCCGTCTGCCAGTTCTTCTTACGTACCTGTCATGTCAATCCACAGAGGCCCTGTGGGTTAGAACTGAGGTGCAGAACCTGAGCTACATCGTTGGTAGCTGGATGCTCAGGATGTAAATGTCAGTGCTTCGTGTCAGGAGTGAGGGGCACCAGTGGAGAAATATGTGCAGAAGGCAGGAGGCTCTAGCTCAAGATTTATGTGAAAAGGAAAGCTGCTGCAGCTAGCAAGCTACAACCAAGCTGCTGGAGTATCTTCAGGTAGCCTGGATAAATTCATGAGTGCTTAACCTAACACAAGGATCAGTTCTTGTTCATGCTTCCTTTGCTCTTTGGGGAGCCTCTGTGGTTTATCGTTCCAGGTCCCGCTTGAGTTATCGACATGGTCAGTGCCGGATGGAGCCTCACCCTGCAGGGTGGAGCCAGCGCTGCGTTGGGCTGAGGACACTGAGGACACGGTGCCTGTAGTTGCAGGGTGACTCACAGGTCTTGAGCCTGTGAATGGGGAACCTGGCAGGCAGGAGGAGTGGTTGTTAAACACACCCGTGTTCAGGAGGACGGCCCAGCGTGGAGAGTGGTTTGATAGTGGGAGGAGGTGGAAGAAAGGTGGTGAAGCTAGGTTTTCTGACAATCAGCTTGTGCAAGAAAAACATCAGAAGGATGAAGGTGTCAAAATGACAAGAACAAAGGTCTAAGCCATCTTCTCTCAGCGCCAGAGGCCAGTAGCTGATGCTTGCAGGTGTAACAAGGAGGGTGTGATTCAAGCCAGCCTTCTCTGGGTCCCACCAGTTGTCTCCTCAAGGACTGTGAGCTGGCAGCTGCCCTTGGACTGCTGTGTCTAGCACCCACAGTTTTTACCACATCAGTCTACCAGGAAATTGTACACCCCTTTCTAAATCAGCTTTTGGTTTCTATAGCATCCTGTATCCTACATTTGCTATTTAATTATGCATTAATTATATTCTCTTTACTCATATGTTGTATGAAGGCGCAGATCCTTTTGTTTCTTTTAAACCTACTGACAGATCATTTCTTGGGCCCGGGTCTTCATTGTGTGAAAGAGCAAATAAGTGCTTCCTGTTCCTCTCCCTTGTGTTATTCTTGATTTGAGATCTCTGTCATACTCTCACTTGGTTGTCTCTCTACCAGCACAGCTTAGTTTATTGGAGAGCTGGCTCAAAGCACTCGTGGGCTCCATGTCTCTAGAACTGGGTTGTGGAAGCTATTTTTAACACTGTGTACACTACCCTTATGCTTCTGTTTCTTCTCTGGATGTCATATTAAGGGAGTTTTTTATGTAACCACTAAGGGTTTGTTTTATTCCTTGTTTTTCAAATGACTTTTTATTTAAAAAAAAACAAAACAAAACAAAGCTTCATACCCATCACAGAGCTGCCCCTTTCTCAGGACAGCTGTCCGGGCATGTTTAATCATCTTTGATTTCTGTTCACAGAGCACAGCTTAGCATTAGGTACATAATAGTGGTTGCTTTAGAAGGGGCAGAAAACTGGTCCTAGTTTGACATCCTCCTGAAGAGCGTTTTTATGAAAGAGAAGCGTTGTGTGATGTGTGTGGCTGAATGCAGCTGTCCTCTTCTCAGCATCATGAAGCAGAGGTGATGGAGCCTTGGGGGAGCACAGTGTGACTGTGCTGGGGGTGCCGTGGCTGTGTGCAGAGCTGGCCTTTTCCAGGACCACCCTTGATTGATCTGTAGATACTCTTAGTTTAAAGCAAACTGTTAACACACAAGCACAAATGTTTTAAGGTCACCTACTCACTTTGTGAGATCTGACAGAGGAAGCATGTAATAGGATGTTTTTGTTAATATTTGGCAACTAGAAATAAACACATCCTAAACAAACAAAGATTTGCTAACAGCTTTTTGTCTCTTCTCTGAATTAACAATTCCTTCTGCCTTCGGGGTGGGAGGAGGAGCTCTGAGTGCTTCTCAGGCACTTGGTGCTGAGGTTTCTTGAGTACTTTGGACAAAGAACATTGAAAGGGATGCAAGTGAGAAATGCTTTATTTTTTGGCCGGTATGCCTGGAGGTTGCTTTTGTGAAGTCTTAACTTCTTGAGGACTTACTGTGATTATTATCAATTGCTTGTTCATGGGGTTACTGCCTGTAGGGAGTATAAAATGACTAATAGGGTTAGAAGTGATGGAGGAGGACTTCATAGGCACCGTGCTTCACGGCCAAAAGCACCAAGCATGTGAGTAGATGTTGCCACTTAACTGCTCATATGCCCGCAATGCTCTGTGCTTTGCTGTTTTGCAGCATGGGCGAATTCTCCAAGACCTTGTCCCACCTTCC